GTGTCCTTTGAAGGATTTACTTAAGATCGAGCGGCGTGAAAAAGAGCTGTCTCTTATCCACGACACTTTTTTGGAATCTTCTCCTCTCTCCTCCTGTCCTACGCCTTTGATTCCTGACAGAGTGTACCTCCATACTCGCCCGACGGTAAACTCTTCAACGTGGCTCGCCTCCGCACCAAAACCAAAGTCAAAACTGCACTTGTGCGTGATTTGCTCTTCGCTGACGATACTGCCTTCGCAACGCATTTCGCGAGGCAGCATTGCAGAGGCTCATCACCAAACTCGCCAGCGCATGTATAAACTTTGGCCTCAAAATCAGCCTCGAGAAAACCAATGTGAGTGCCCAAGATGTCAGCCATGCCCCTGAAATCAAAAATCAGCGACCACACTCTCGTGGTAGTCGACGAATTCACCTACCTCGGTTCCACCATTTCCATGAACTCGGGCCTTGACTCAGAATCTCCCGAAGAATCGGCAAACACACCGGCGGTCATGTCCAGATTGACCAACAGAGCCTGGGAAAACATTTACCTGACTGAAAGTATCAAAAAGGATATCTACCAGGCATGCGTTCTCGGTACCTTGCTCTACAGCAGTGAAACTTGGACCCCCTACATGAGACAGGAACACAGCTAGAACTCTTTCCGTCTGCGATGCCTCATAACAGCAACAGTGAGATACTGTCACGTGCTAGAACCCCCGGTATGTACTCCCTACTCATTCAGCAGCACCTGCGTTGGCTCGAAGAACCGCCTGATCGCAGGTTATAATCTGCGGGAATGTCGTAGTAGCGGGAAGCAAGTTATCAAATATTACAAGTTTTCTCATTTTGCGATCAATAACATAACCGTGCTAACATTTTTGGTTTAAAAAAAGCACATTGAGGCTTCCCAAAAGAAAAAAATTTCAGTCACATCTCGTCGCTACTGTCGATACGAATCGAAAGGCTTCTAGTAACATGTCCACAACGGTTGTTTACTCTGACCGCTAGCTGGATTTGACGGTAGTCCTGTGTTCAAATCCTCTGCCGGGCCTATAAATAGCCAGCTAGTTTGCCTTCGCCCAATTGGGATTCTTAACTCTGTTATTTTTGATGTTTGCTTGGCCCCACTAGCATTAGTGCTATAAATACTGCTAAGGTTAAATAACGGAATTATTATATTACCAACTCCTCCAAATGAAAATTACTGAGAGGTCGTTCTACTGGCAGTATGGAGGAACAAGAAAACATAGTCAGGTTTTTGTATCCATTGAGAAACAGGGAAACAGGGTGAAGCATTCAGGGAACAAGAAAGCTGATTATAAGCTATAACGCTTAGAATTCTATTGCAATGGATTAAAAACTGCTACACTGTAGGCTCCAGCACAAGCAACCTCTGACACAATCTCTAAAATCCAACATCTCCCCGCAGGATTTGACCTATCCTTACAACCATGGACTGCATTTACATTCATTGACTGGTATCGCTGCTCTGTTACTCAGCGATCTTAGTTTTCCCATTGATGCTGACTGGAACACTACATGTAAATTTGAAAAATTATCATGGGACTTGAACTCAGGCCTCCGAATTGCAAGTCCAACGTTCTAACCCCTCTACAACGCTTCCTCCTCTGTTTAAAAAACGCCGTGGAAGTATGGTCCTATGGTCCATCTGGGGTCATAAAACAGGTCTGTGGGCTATATAGAAACTTTTCATTTACTCTGGGGGGTCATAAATCAGAGCGTTTGGCTCTAGAATAGGGTATCATTTTTCAGGAAACTGATCAGTTGGTTGAAACATCTTGACTAGGCAGTGCTTTTACTCTAGTATAGGGTAGCAAAATTCAGCTGAACTAGAAAACCAAGAAATTCCTAAAGTACCCCCCGATATAGCCCATTCCATTCAAGTGAAAATTCTCTAATATCATGATAGTACTCTCACATAGTAGCACTGATTTGTGTCTTAGATTGAAGTTTTGATTCTAGAAGGAAAGAGAAGAGGGTAATTATCAGGATGCAGTTCATCTTTTTTCCAGTTTTCTATTTTTGCATTGTGGATGTTTTGGGTGAAGTTAGATAGTCTAGATATTGTTTTATTAAGCCTTGCTGAGTCGTTCTTCTATGTGTTTATTATGTCTTACCTTCAACATGCTAATCTAGTGATCGGATCCTATATCTACAATCGGCGTCAAAATTGCTGAGACGTTGCCCTCAAATGATCTTTGGAGAACAAAACAATCCATACCCCTCCTCAAGGTCTCCGTTCATCCATTCAAAGTTGTCATGTATGTTGTTTTCTACAGGATCGAACAGCGGTAAAACATTTTGTGGAGGGGAGGAGGGAAAGCGTCATTTCCACCTTCTTAAGTCGGAAAAACGACAGAAAGGCTCATTAGGACAAAGTGTCTCAACTAATTTTGACGCCGATTGTGGGTTAATTGAGCCCGCGTACGGATGAATGGATCCGTAATGCTCAGGATCAGTTGGCAAAAATATTGACTGAAGATCCTATTTGTAAACCTTGTGTCAAACATTCAAAAGTCAGTTCTGTGTGTCCCACTTTTACTGGTCACAATTTCCTTTTCTTTTCAACTATGACGGTTTTCAAAGCAAGTACTCCGACGTTCCACGGTAACAGACTAAAGTATTTCCCAGAAATTCTGCCGTCATTTTCGGGACAAAGAACGAAAGTTATGCCCGCATTGTAGAGGGTGTGAGGTCTATCTGCCTCCCTGCGTGATCCACTAATACTTAAAATAGCTCTGAGTGTCCTTAACTAAGACAGGGGTGTCACTGAAGCTTGCTCCCTGGGAGATCAGTTCGTAGAGAGAGCTAATGATAGCTTAATTTTTCTAGACTTCCGAAGCAATTTAGTGGAGTAATTTGGTTTCTCTTTCAAGAGCCTTCAGGGTGGCCCAGAAACTAGACAGCCTAACAGGAAAACCTACTGCATCGCTTTTGAGAGGTACGTCTACGGCACATAGTTTGTTTTTTTACATTTTCGCAAGGCTTATCTGTCCTATCACGTTGCGAAGTTTTAACTTGAAACTTGAAAAACTCTCCAACGACGGTATCCTTTCGACTCCTTTCGATATTGTTTGTCCTCTGTCATCACAAAAAGCACCATGCTAGATGGAACCTTTTAACACCTGCAGAGGGTCTTGTTGGTATTACATGCATGTTTCAGCTTGTTTTCATCACGTCGGGTTTCCCATCCTAATTCAGTCAACAATGTTGAATAAAACTTGTTGTAAAGCACATATTATCAACGTTGCAAGTTAGCGGAGATCAGCCTGCTTGTTAATTCTTTTGCCGGATATGCTGTCTAAGGGGAAAAACGTGGTGAGCACACTTAACTGCACAGACACCTAATTCATCTTTCCGTCTAAAATCTGCGTGGCAAAAAGGCCTCATATTGTCGGATTACCATCACATCACTAGCCTGTGTACAGACGTCTCCTCTCCCTCAGATTTTGAAAATTAGGATTCTCAGTGAAATCAGAAATTCAAAATTGACAATCCGGAGCTCGATAAAACTAGGCTTGACTTTTTCAATAGGATGCTGTTTTTATTTTGATATTCACTGAGAATGTCTAACTAAAAATGTCGCGAGACAAATAACTTTCTAAAAGTATCGTTGAAATACGTTCCTTAATCGGCTGAAAGGATTAATTTGTTCAAAATACTGATCGGAGCACGTAGTATGCCAGTGGATGAAAATCCATTAAAATAAAAAAAAAACCCTTAATATATGTCCTATATAGCTCGCAGGTGGTTCTGCTTTGACATAGGAAGGCTTGAAGACTAGTGCTGTAGCGTTCATTTCGAGATCGTGCAGGATCCCGCAATTCATGTCTTAAGGAAACAAACTTAAAATTCACTGAGTGATTCGAAGCATCGTTCTTCTTATTGAAATTTCTGTCAAGTTGATTTAATCAAATAATAAAGTTATTAAAATATATAACTAAAAATCTCAGTCAGTCTAGCTATAGTGACAGCAGCACAATAGCCTTGAACGCGTTCAAGTCAAGGCAAGGGGAAAATAGTCGTCCAGGACTCGTAACTCGCACTTGAAAACTATGAAAACTATCCTCTCAACCTTGCCGAAGTCACAGCCAAAAGAAAGAAAACAAAAAAATGCCCTGCTCCCGGCGGGGTTCGAACCCGCGACCTTCGCATTGCTTCAGCACCCTCGGCGGCTATATGGCCGGTACTGCTTATAAGTACGACGCTCTAACCGACTGTGCTACGGGAGCTAGACGTAACCGCTCCTACTGCAGTTTTGACGTATTCATGATTGTGCTGACGCTCAATCGTTTTTTAGCCAACCGGAAGTGGGCTCCTTGCACTCTTCGTCCGTGATTTTGAACAAATTCTTGGGCAAATCGTCTCTTTAAGAGTAAAGACACTTAGCAATACAAACTTGGTAGCGTCAAAAGGCGTCGCCGGTAAAACTCTCTAATTTCATATCAGGAGTACATATTTATTATCCTGCCATCGCGATTCAGTTTTTTTCCACTGTTTTCCTATTCTTTTTCCTGTTGCTGTCCGATTATGTACTTTGTTTACTTATTTCTTGCGGTCGTCATCTGACGGAGAAGGGGCTGGAACGCTAAGTACCACAGGGTACCCATACGTCGGAAGCGAGGGAAGAGTCGCGAAATTTTACTGACGTTTTGTAGGGGGCAAGGAGGTGTCTCACGCCATACAAACTTCTACAACATTTTGTCACTTCGCCGAGCTGTGATAAATACATTCGTTCTTTTTTAACAAATCGCTCTTAACAACCCATTAGCCTGTTCCAGGCATTGGGATAGTGAGCTGCGGCGCGAAGTAAGAGAGCTCAGAGAGCCCAGACTCGTACCCAGTCGTTATTTATGTGTTTTGGGGGGGTGATAGAAATTGGGCTTTGGTTGGGGCTTAGACTTGAGTCCCCACGTGTAGCGTTGCAGCTAACAGGAGCCTGGAACCGAATATTTTACCCTTGAATGCACTGCTGCTAAGCATTACGGGATTACGTATCAGGAGTGTTGAAAATGGCGGCGGAGGAATGCACAGCTCGTGGACCACAGAGATAGGGAATTTTCTTCAGTTCTTCGCCTTTAACGAACGTCATGGCGTCCGCTGAGTGTGACATAGAACTAGAAGATGGAGAAATAAATGATTTAGAGGACGGCGAAATAGACGAAGATATACTTCTGCCCGCGGAATCGAACAACAATGTCTTCTCTCGCTTGGAACCACGTCAACATGCATATCCCGAGAATTCTAATTCTTATGGAGCAATCAGGAGAGATTTTGTACATCATAATTTAGGTCCTTCATCTGGAAGATGGGAAACACACGGTGGTCCTATAACTCCATCACGGGGGAGAGTTTCAAGAGGACGAACAACTCCGCCGAGAGTCCTGCGAGGAGGAAGGGGAAAATCATCTTTTCGTGGAAATGGACGGCAAGTGATGGGCCGGGGCAAGCCTTTTGCTGCCAAAAGAGAAAATACACGTCAACGTATCCTTTTGTTCTTTTAAGCTGTGCGAAAATGGAACATTTTTTCTCGTGGAGAGCGTTAAATTAAATTAAATTACCTTGACAATTAAACTTAAAAGGTGATACACTTATTTGCTTCTTCAGCAAATAAAGGGAAGACGTGCGCTTTCTTCTTTCAGTTTTAGTGCAATTCTGGGCAAATTTCTTTAGGTTCTGTAGGTGTCTGGAACAAGAATGTTATCAATTGTAACAGTTAAAAATCTAAAGTAAAGTGATAGTCACATATAGTTAAACTTTTTAACTGACATTAGTTTTATTCATAACTGTCTTTGTCTCCTTACGAGTAATATTCAGGATGAGTAATATTTAGGTTTAGGATTCAAAGGAAACTGAGTATTCAATAGATTGACAGCTGGTTTTGGGCTTGCTGCATTCAAGGCTGAGCTCCCTTTCTCAATAGCATAGGAAGCGAATGACATCAGAGTGACTAATTTGCAATTTTTGTCTGAGTTGTGATTAGGGTAGGGTTAGGCAATGACTCAAAATGAGAAGCTTTTATTCATTGTTTGGTTTGACACCATTTGAAAGTTAATGTGGTACCAAAGGCTAATTTGGGCATTTGTTTGAAAATTTTATTCTTGTGAAAATATTAGAAAGGTTTAATAAAAATAAGTGAAATTTTATGGATGCAAGTGCAAGGTACGTGTATATGTTTTGGAATATTGCATCTTCTTTTGGATTACTACAACGGAATTTGTGGAATTTATCAAAATTTAGGATGCAGTCAAAATAAAATTGCCTTTAAATTTAAAAGGATTAAATAATATTCAAAATGAAAAGACGCACATAAACAAAACCACAAAAGAAAGATGTACAGTGCAGTGTGCCAAAAAATATTGAATTTGGACAATTTTAGAGGAAAACCAAAAAAGTTATACCTGAGGTGAATGCAATACTTTGTCACTTCCAAATTACAAAGCAGACTGTGGCACACTGCACTGCAAATTTTCATTATCTTGTCTAGATAACGTGTACCAAGATTTGTGGCATTTGAATGAATCCTTGAGGAGAAAACTATCCAAAAATGCCAGAGACAAGCTTTGATTACGAGTTTTTTTAAAGAAAAAACTGCAATTTCGTTTGATTTACATGCACTCAAACTGAAATTGGTGGTTGTTGACTTAGTCGCCATCTTGGAAAGGCCTGTAGTAAAGTTTTCTAGCGTAAAACACAAAATACTGCCCTATATGCGGTCATGATCACGATATTTGACTGGCTATTTTTCCTGCAAAACCAATCAGAGGCACAGGTATAAAGAATGACACCTTTTGATTCACAACAGTGTCCTGGAGTGAAGTGCTGACAAGTTTGTTTCTGTTCAATAGGGAATTTTCTTGAGTTCTATACAGTACAAGGAAACATTTGCCTTTCTATGGCAATGAAAAGCTTTTCCGTCTATAACTAACGTTATGGTAAATGTGTAGTTCCAGAAAATATCCAGACCCCCACCACGGAGGGAATTGGAAATTCCAGGGGGCTGGGGGGGTCAGAGGCCCAGGAAATTCCAGAATGGAGGGGGGTTGGACCATAAAATCACTTTCCAGGGGGGCAATATCATTTTGTTTTCGACCTGAGATCGAACATTGCTTCTTACCGACCTGATAGATCATTTTTAGGACATAAATAACTTGACATATATCACTTAAGATTGTTCGTTTTTGATCTTAACCAGGTTTCCTTTCTTCCAAAAGCGTTTTGGATGTAATTTCAAAGGAATTAGACCGACTACAATTCGTTTTATCGCATGCTCGTATATTTGGCCGCCATTACTCGTTACCAGTCTTCCCCAAAACATCAACGCATGCAACACTTCACGCAACACAACACGTTGCGTCAGTCGATCGATAGATCAGAAGAGTGGCTATTTTGCCTCACGAAGCACAAGCTATACGTTGTAACCATTTTAGAATGAAGAGTTTTTATTCTCCTTTTCATTTTCCCTTAATTTTGTGGTTGAATGTGTGGCATGTTCTTGATCGAATTCTCGCTGAAATGGTGTTGATTTCACCAAACATTTATACGGCCATCGCGCATCACGTCGCATCAGTCGATCGAAAAACAGTAAATTGGACTTGGTTTCCCTTCAAGTATCTTCAAGATGCAGGGGGTATTCATTGTTATCATTTCAGAATTCAGAGTTTTTATTCTCCTCTTTGCTTTGCATTAATTTTGTGGTCGTAAGTTTGACTTGTTCTGCATTCCCGCACGAAATGGTGTTAATTCTATCAACATTACGCCCATGAGACGAATAACAAATCTAAGCTTGCCCTGATTAAGGTAAATTCACAAATATAACCGACTTATTCACTTTCTCTGTTTCATTTAAAGTAAGAGATGAGCAAAAATTACAGATCAGGTTACTTTGTGCTGGTGTAGTGTGTTTTAATGTTGCGAGATCACTCAAATAAATGGAAACAGAAGCATGCAAGCTTCTCATGAAACCGTTGGGTACTAACCATACGTTGCCTCATTCTTCTAGTTTAATAGTCTTTCTTCGTGAAAATGAACTTTTCCAGAGGAGTTGGGGGGTCTTTGTCACACTTGTGGAAATTCCGAAGGGGTGGGGGGTCATCAGTTCCCTGCAAAAATGGAAAATCCAGGGATGTGGGGCGGTCCTAAGTGAAATTCCCTCCGTGGTGGGGGTCTGGATATTTTCTGGAACTACACAATGATCAAAGAAGGAAAATCTGCAGTTTCAGTGGCAGGAAGTACAAAAATGTACAGTACATCAGAGAACACGATCATGCATTTAATTACATGGCTAGCGCATGTTTTTTTATAAAGTGTTAGATAGAGGAATTCGTCAGACATTTATGGTCACAGTGCTGTGATATGCAAATACAAAGTTAATTGCTTGTATAACAGAAGAGTTTGTGATGCGTGATTGTTTTGCAATCATAACCGGATATATAAACTGTCAAATTTGCCTGCTCCGGGATATAATAATTTTCTTCGTCGCAAGTGTTTTTATACTTCTCAGTTTACCACATTTTTCCCATAAAATTGGTCTTAGAAAAGAAACTTTAGTTGCTTATAACACGCTTCAGGGAGATCACCCTAAACTTAAACTTGGGATACAATGGGCGATTCCAGAAAATATCCATACCATACCACGGACGGCTTTTAGGATTTCGGAAGGGGAGGGGGGGTTCACGATTATGGATTTCTGAGGGCATGGGGGGTATTTACGATTGGAAATGCGAAGGCATGGGGGAATTCCACAGGTGGGATTTCTGGAGTAGAAAGTGTAGAGTGAGTTCCTTGACTTTTGTAGTTCGTAAATAAACCACAAACGTATGACCGCGGAAGCAGAAGACAAGCATCGATACATCAGACACGTGTTTATGCTCATAACTTATAGAAGTGAACAGTAAAACGTGGGTTTCACATCAACCTTGATGAATTTCTTGTCACATGAAAAAAAAACTGAATATGTATATTACTGCTTGCAAGTTTGTTGTTACTCCAGTCCGATGAACAGCAAAAAAACTTGCACCAGTCCCTGGCTTCCAAGGAACGCCTGTCAGATTAGAACACTTTTCGTGCACACTACATGACGTATAAACGGACGCAACACGACTCGACGGTATATTTGATCGCCGAAAGATTTTAACAGTCTGAATTTGAGCTATTTTGCTTTGTAAACGTCAAAACAGCACAAAAAACAAAGAGGAGTAAAATTGCCGTTAGTGGTATTTATTTTTAAAGCCAAATTCGGACCTAAAAAGGAGTTTGCACAGCTTGGCTACTAGCGGTAGGTTAGAGTAAAGCTTGTCGCCTGGCGCCGCTAGATCACAGCCTTGAGGAGGCATAAATTCATGTTCGTTTGTTCATATAGGCGTTGCTAAGTTGAAAATGTACTTCCAAAAAAACGGAAATTCTGAAGGGGATGGGGGGTTCACGATTATGGAATTCTGAGGGCATGGAGGGGTAACACATTTTGGAATTTCCGAAGGCAAGGGGGGGATAAAACATGGAAGCCATCTGTGGTTGGGTATGGATATTTTCTGGAATTGCCCAATGTTAAGAACTGGCTAGCTTCAAGCTGGTAGAAAATCACACAATTCTGAGATGGTCATGTTAGCCTGCAGTTGCACTTAAGCTGCAGAGCAGACTCAAACAGGGTGAAGTTGTAGGGAGGTGAAGGGGACGAAACCAGCAAAACTATCGCTGTAGGATAAAATGGTTGACATATTTTAATTTGAATTTAATTTTTGACCTACAACATAAAAACCAGTAAAGCAATGCTGAATTACTCCTCCAGTTTATTTTCCATTCACGTAGTCTATGTTGTATTTCTATTGAGGGCTAAGCTGCAGAATACTCAGAGCCAGTTGTGTAAAATAATGTACAATCTACTTCAATGACTGAACATTTATGCAATGAACCCCTAGCCATTTTCTTACATGTCTTTAACTCTGGATTGGCCCTTATGCATCTTTACGATAAATGAACAAATTTCACAACCAAACTTTGTAAACAAAATTCTTTGCATTTGTATTCTTTGTGCATGGGGGTTTCTTTTCAACTCTTGTAAAACTTTGCAAATTTGCAATTTCAAACAGGCTTGGTGCTGAAGTTTCCACATCTGATGTAAACATGCATAAGGGCCATAATTTGCTGAGTATCTTACACCGGTACCTTCTTTTTCAACCAATTTCTTTCACATGTAAATGAAATGTTGTGGAGTGGCCAATTACATGTATTCTGCAGCTACTCCTTACTTCTCAAAATCACACTGTGCTACTTTCAAGTTTGAGCATCGTCCATTTGATTACTCAAGAGATCCTTTCTTTAAACTTTAATCACAGTTCGTAACCATACATAACTGATACAAATGAACTAATACTGACATATACAATCGTACAAAAATACAAAAATGGTTAGTAGGGGGGAACCAAATTCCCATTCTAAGACATACCCTCCAAAAAAGAAAAAAGGAAAAATAATTAATTAATTAATATATAAACATATATATTAAAAGACTATAAATTAGTCTATAAATTATAAACCTAGATGCCTAATAATAATGCATAAACTTATATTAAAGACACTATGCTTGTCACTGTTAACTTTTTATTTTTGTTTTTCTTTTGTAAATGGTAGCACGGTGCAACCTTGATATAATGAACCTCTGTATAACTAAGTCCTTGGTACATTTTAAAACTAATGATACTAATGATATTCTTTACCTCTCTAATAGTAAAATATATGAAAAAGAACCATGTTATAGCAGACATATTTTGCCAGTCCCTGGGCCCTTTCTTTTATATTGATGTTCCACTGTAAATAAAATGATGTAATTAGCACCATAATGTCATTGTGCTGTTCATGGATGTCTATACCTGTATGAAACTACAGCAAGCTACATGTATCACATTCTGTCCCATATACCCAAAGGAAAAGTTAATTATAGACATGTTTCACTGATTAAAAGTGAAAGTTATTTGAAGAGCATCTTACCATAACATCTGGTTTAGGAGGGGCACATTTGGTTTTTCAGTTTCGAAGGTTTTTCCTCTTTTTGCTCTTACCTGCTTTTCTAGTGTTTGTCAGTTCCCTTTTGTGAACTTGTGGTTTTCAGTTTTTGAAAGAAACAAAGACTAGTGTTTTTTTTCCTGTTTGCCTTCTTGCCTTTGTTTGTACATGTAGTTCTGCTAGAGGGGAAGTGTTATTATCAAGAGAAGACAAGCCCTAGCCTTGCAGTAGCCTAAAGGTTGGAGTACTATACACAACTTTAGAATGGTTTATTGACCCTTTAAGCGCCAAATCTTCATACATTTCATTCAAGAGGTATTTGAGAAGTTGATAACAGATAAAAGCATAATTTTCCCCTTAGTTAACATATTAATAATTCTCAAAGCTGTTTTTCTTGATGATAATTATATGAATACTGTTGTAATTTGTATGGTTCTTAACATAAATAACTTAATACAGATTTTTTACAAAGACCCAACTTGCCTCATTCTCCTTCTGTGGAGAGATCCCGTGGACCATATCCTCAGAAACGAGGACCAGGTTATACTGACAATGAAAGATTAAGGCAAGCTTCTTCTCAACCTGAGAACAAAGCAAGAGCTCCCCACCTTGATGAAAGGTGGCATGGTCACGGCTACCCTGATGCTGAGAGACCGAGGTTACCCCATCCCCTTCTGAACGAAAGACAAAGGCTGCCTCTCATGGAGTTGGATGAGAAGTCATGGCCTTCTTATAATACAGGTGTAGATTCAATTGCTCCTGCACCAGATCAACAATCTGCAAGAATGGAGTCACCTTTAGATGAAGAAGAGGTTGATGATTATCGGATTTTGCTACAGCGCCATCGTCTTATTCAGCAGCAGCTTGCTGCTCTTGAAAAACAAGAGAGTTCAACTTTGGAAGAGGAAAACATCATTGATGACACTTTTATAGATATTCCAGTTGAAGACACACAGCCAGATCAGTCTTTTGTCAATGAAGGAAACCTTGAAAGTTTTACTGATTCGCTTGTTGAAAATCCTGAAAGAGATGAGCTTATGAATCTTCAGCAATCAAATCTGAATCGAAATCTCACAAATGTTGTAAATAGTGATGAACTTGAAAACTCTGAACAAATTGATGACCTATTTATGAGTGGAAAGCCGGAGAACTCAAACTCACCAAAGCCATTTGTACCATTTAGAATTAAACCTCGCTACACTGGCGTTCCATCAATAAAAGAATTGAGCCAAAAAGACTTGGAGCTGAGGGGAGCTAAGGAAGGCACCCCAACTGCTGGAGACAGTATCAATGAAGGGAATCAACTTTTAAAAGAAAACAATCAAGCCCCCTCACAACATCGTAACAGAACTAGAGGAAAGCTCTCTAGAGGTCGCAAAAATAGAAAGAGAAGAAAGAGAAATTTTTCTCAGGGTGGAAATCAAGGTAGCAGCGCAATAGACATTCAACCTTCTGAAAAAGTTGGCTCCAACCAAAATTCACATGTTGATCCTCATAATGAACTAGAGGCAAGATTGATGAGTTTAGCAGGGAGCTCTGTTCCAAATCTTGAAGGGACCAATGAGAACAGGTTTGTACTGGGCAAATTTTAAGTTTTTACTTCAGTGTTTATGATTCATATGGTACTCTAACATGTATACTGTGGTAGCTCACGTAGGTGGACACCCTCGGCACGCGAAAAAGTTGTCAGTTAGTGGAGCTGGCTGCTTACAAGAATGGTTCTCATAAGAGGCCACTTGAGATGTAAGGGTTAAGTGGCTGCTTACAGGAGCTTGCCCATCTGCAAATTAATAAACACTGGAAATGCAAAAACACTGTTTGTTAGTATTTGTTTCCACTGTTCTGACATTGTATTAATTCAGACACAAACCTAAAATTCAAGTGGTGTTTTGAAGTGTAACCAGTCATGTATGTGAAAAAAAAATAAACACTAAAACTTATATAAATTCCTTGTGACAAACAGCAATATGAAGTTGATACGGTAAAATAAAAGATTCAGAGGAGATTCAAAAAAGAAAAAGATTCATTTCTAAATCAGGTGTCCCCTTATGGGAGCTAAAAGCAAAGCTAAAATTTAACTTGTAAACTGTGAAGTGTCCACTGCTGCCCACAGGAACTGTCCACATACAGGAATGTAAAAACGCAGAGTTCCTTTTGGATTTGAAACAGAGTTTTGTGAAGGTGGTGGTAAGAAGACTAGTCGCCTAAGTCTGCTTGCAAGAGTGCCCATTTAGAGAGCTTCTACTTTATGAACATTGTTTACCATATAAGTGGTGAAAGAGTTTGTTATGGTTAATAAAGATCCAATTCCCAAGATAGAAAAACTTGTAATACACAAGCTTTGGATTCCATTATGTAGTCTTTATCAAGTGATGGAGTTGGACATTTAATGTTGTTAATGTGTCAGCATGTTGATGGCTTAAATCAGGCTTTGATTTGTATGTGCATTCCTTCGTTGTTTGTTCCAGGCAAGATGTTGACTTCAAGAAACAAGAAAGGCGTGAGAAAGTGCGGCAGTGGCAGGAGAAGATGAATAAAGCTGGATTTTCAGATCAGAAAAGTCAGCCAGGAAATAAAGTACACCCTAAAAAGAAACCAGCCAAAGGGAACAAAAGAAGTGCAACTTCACAAAGTTTAAAATCAAATGAAAGTCAGCGCGCAGACAGAGATTTGCACAGAAGGAATGTTGTCAGGTTTGACAATGATGACTATTTTGAAATACCCATGGATGTCGAGAGTGATTCAACAGGTAATGCAGTAAAATTTAGCTCAAGAAAAGATTCCATTTGTACAGATTTTTTTTTGTTTTGAAATTGATTATTTGAGCAATAGAAAATGTTTTCCTTGTTTGCATTGCCTGATATAAACATTTGAGGGTTGGGAGAATTGAGACAGTCATGTAAACCCAACACAAAGTAGAGTATTTACACAACTGTCAAGAATTCTCCAAACTCCTTGAGTGTTTCTATCAGGTTATGCAAACACAGGGAAAAAAAGTTTCCCATTACTTTTATAAAACAACTTTTCCGAGGAAAAAGCAAAACTCTTTGTTTATGACACTGATGAAAAGAGAAATTCTTACCAGTCAGGAAGTGTTGTACACAAAGTTTTGTATGCATAATCAGTGCTTGTTTTGCAAAAAAGATGCTTTCCAAAATACAGATTTTTCTCAATTAACATGTCAGCTTCAGCGGGAAAAAATTGACACAGCGTGTTTCTAAAGATTTTCCAAGTTTCAGCAGACAAGGAATTGTGTAAATAAAGTAAACTTGTCTAGTTTTCAACTCAAAAACTTTATTAAAATTTCCGGCTTGCATGATTAATGAGCACTTAGCAAAACATCTGGACGTCACAACCATGTTTACATACTCTTGTGTAAACACACCTCTCAGCCAATCAGAGTGCGTGTACTATCTTAGTTATTTTATAAAATTTAGTCTTGTGGCTGTAAATTTGTGATGGACAGTGGTTGATATGTGTAGAACTTATAGCATTCACTCATGACCAAGATTTCATGCAGGGATGTCACTAAGATTTCAAGTTGCTGGGTAAATAAAACAGGGAAGGGAATCAGACAGCTAGGGATTTTTTTTGGTTATATTTTTCTTCTACGTGTATTTTCCTTTGAAAGTAGCCAGGGTCACATTAAGTAGCCGCGGAAAAAGCGCGACCCCCACGTCTTAATGACAGCCTTGTCATGTTTAAATTTAGATGTAGACTGGAATTTTTTTTTTGATTTTATTGTATTCCATAACTTAAGTTAAATTCTTTTAGGCTAGACGGGGATAGGGGACTTTTCCCCTCAGCTATAAATCACTGACATCGTCATCATCATTATCATCATCATTAACATGATCATCATCACTGTTAAATTATTTTTTACCGGACTAGATGGTCCAGCTCTTCCACTGATTGAGGAACCAGTTGAAGATTTCCCACCACCTCCGCCACCATTACCCAATGGCGACTCAGGTAAAAATAACACCTCTGTGTCTTATTAACTGCAGTTGATAAAACTGCAGAGCTAATGCATCAGTCATTCATCCCCCCTCCTCCCAAACTACTGTGGGGCATTTGCCTACCTTGTCAGTGTGTAAAAAGTGAGACAGTCCTGTCTTTTCTTTTCCCTTTATCTCATCCCCTTTTCTTTTGCTTTTCTTGTGCTGGGCATTTAGTAAGCCTCACTTTGGTGGGAAAAGTTTCTGGGCAAACCTTTTGGATTGTAGGATTAGATGAAAGGAATGGTATGTGGGCAGTGGAGCAAGATTTTCTTGGGAATTTTTGGGTCAACATTGCATAGTTTTTTGCCTTTTTCTCCAACTTCCTTGACTGAATCATGCTCATTCTGGTGCATGTATGGTTTGAAACCTCTTGTCACCCTGCTGAAGTTAGCTGACAAAGTTGCCCCTGACCATGAACACTGTTGATGTCTCAAGTGGTAGAAACGAACTGGATCCGCATGGGCAGTTCAGGGGTGAATGGGTTAAAAGATCTATAAATTTTGTGCTCTAGGTTCTTACGGCTCATTTTTTTCTTTCATCTTCCCATTTTAACAGCAGTCCCCATGTATGTTGTGGATCAAGCACAGCATCCTCTTCTGGTAAGAATAGACCCTCCCAGCCTAAATAAGAATTTTATTACTCATACTGATTTACTTAGGTTACAAGTCTTGTCTTGCATAACTGCTATAAAAGTACTACTACATTACTACACATTATTGCGTAAATACTTCTTCATTTTGGTACATTTACCTTAGTGTACAAGAAAATTATTTCGATTATATTTGATAAATTTAGTAATTATTTGTACATGTACTTTGCATGTTGTGGTGTCATCATCCAAGAGGACAAAGAAAACAATTGTCTATCACTCACTCAACCGGATGCAACTGCTCTCCAGTACACAGTAAAACTGTCCGATTTTTCTCCAATAATCATTGGACAGTTTGCCTGTTTTAAAAGGAAAGTTCTGAGTAAAAATATCAAAATAATATTTATCCTTTTTGGGCAGTTTCTAAAAATTAATTTAATAATATTATTATTACAATACAGTGTTTGTGACAGGAACTAACTTTAAGGTTAGCTGAACGCAGCTTGATTTGAATCTCGTTCTCTGTTTTTCCTTCAGATGTACCCACCTGCAGGCTACTTCCAAATTGATCAGGTGAGGAGAATAAAGAAAGGCTTTTGCCATCAAGTCTTTTTTTATCCTTCAGTGCTCAAGATCGTACTTGTAACTGCCATGATGGAATGTTTCAATGGGGCAGGAAAGCAATGGCAATGCATTGTGGAGCATGCAGAGTAGTCTGCTACACAGCTGTTTTTAGTGTCATCATGCAACGTGACAACACCGGGAGGAGCGACACTAAAAACGGCTGTGTAGCAGACTACTCGCAGAGCAGTAAACTGTAAACTGCTGCTTATAAGTCCCACCCCTTCCCCATTTATAGGCCCATCTAACTTTAAACAAAAAAATACTCAACAATAATTATTCCTCGAGCCCAAATGGGCTGTTGACTCAGAGGCCATGAGGACAAGAGGAATATTGTTTTAGTAAAATCCAACTAGTTGGTCAAAAATGTCAAGACAAAACAACTTAAGCTAGCAATACTCGATTCAGCCGCCATTGTTTTGCTTTCCAAACCTGGGAGATTCGCTACTAGTGGGCTATAACATATAGCCTAGTAGTAGCTCAACCAATCAAAACGCAGCATTGATGATAGACCACTAGTTGGATTTTACTAAACCCTTTTCAGATATAAGCTTCTCTCATTGAATTTGATTTATTATGACATTTTGGACATTTTGAAGCTCAATTAGAAACCAGTGAATGCAAAACCTATCTTATTCAGCATTGCTATACAGTGTAGCTTGTTCTAAAGTGTTTTTACTAGTCGTGTTATACAATGTATGCCCCCTCAGATATGAGCCCCTCTGTTTATAAGCCATCCTAAAAGCCTTTTCAAGATATATAAGCCTAGGGCTTATAAGCGGCAGTTACTGTACAAATGATCACAAGAATTATCTTGGCCACTCACTGCATCCTGACCCACCTTTGATCTTTGACTGTCTTGAATCTGCTTTGCTGTTGGATCCAGATGAATTATGGGTGGGAAAGCAAGTTTGAGAAATATTATGCAACTCTCTCTCAAATCTCCCCCCCCCCTTCCCCCTCTCAATGCAAGTCATTCCATTATTCATTTTTCTTCTTAATTTTCTTTTAGAAATATCCAGAATGGATGGCTGGGCCGGCACCATTAATGTCACAAGGCCACAATGACCAGCAGTTTGGATATGAAGGTGCACAACTGCATTTTGTCATTAGTCTTGCCTGCTTTAGCTTCAAGACTCTAAAAATGCAAGCGTTTCTTTTTTTTTCTTGTGTGTGCGCCAAAAGGGGAATCATGGTCCCACATATGCGTAGCGGAGACTGTGGAAACTAGGGTTTAGAATCACAGCGTGATGAAAGCTATGCATAGAAAGCTGCAAGAGATGTCCAGCTTTTCTTGAACGGGTCGGCCACAAATTCTATCACTTGTAATTGTTGATTACTTTGGAACAAATGATTACTTCAATGGTCGAAAAAAAGAACAATCTTAATGAGCCAAACGTTGATGATGAGGCTAACTGGTTGGATGTTGTAAACTTTCATTGTATGCAAATAAGTCTTGTGATGAGCATGCAGTTTATTTTTGGCGATGATTGAAATGACTCACCATGTTCATCTTGTTTCCTTGATTTTTGTGTATTTACACACTCGTTCAGTTCACTCAGTTCAGAAACAAATTGAATACAATATAAAAAGTAAATATCCTGAAGAATACTTGAGCGTTGATAAAGTAAGAAGTGAAAAACGTTTAGCAAGGAAATCCTGTTTTATGTAGAATTGATCACCTCCTAGACTGTGAACAGTCTCTTATTTTTCCTTTGAGTCACAATAGGACTAGAACATGATTTTACTTTTTCACTCCCCGCACATGGCTCTGAGGAAACAAGGATGACTGCTCTTGGTCTGATCACCTCCTCATTTCTTATCTTATCTCCAAACAAGCAAGACTCACAGCTTTTAAGTGCGTTCTTGTTTGTCATTAAACTGAGCCAAGCACCTTGTAGGTCTTCAGTGTTAACACTGGCTATATTTACGTGAATGCAAAAAAAGGTTTTTAATGAAAAAAAAATTATTCAATCACCAAAGACAGTAGTAAGAAAGTTTAGTAGAGGCAGTTTTTTACTTCTCCAGGGCCCCTTCTCATTGATAAAGCTGTTGTGGTGCTTGATGTTGGTGATGAGGGTGCAACATTGTTCCATAGAGTGAGGGGGTCAGTAACTCTGGTTCCCAAATCATGTGCTGTCCAATGGAAGATACTGGTCACCTCACAGATTTTGCATTTTACAGAACAACAATAATTTTAGTGAGTCTCATTACCAAAATGCAGCTTCAAATGAGAGACTCTGTAGTTTAAAAGAAAAATATGCACTGTTGTTTGTGATTGAAGGAAACATTATTATTCTGTTGTGATGTGCCAAAAGAGTATTATGTTATCTTCTTGCGTTTTAACATCATTCTCTAGTGAAAACAAAGGAAAAATAAAAATTGCCTGAAATAAAAATTAACGGCAACATCTGCATTATATATAAGAGAGGTGCCATTGCCACATGTAAGTACAGTATGTAACACTATTTTGGAATATATGTCACTTTTCAGAATTTGCTAGACAGACAGATGAGTTGGAGCAAAATCATGATCAGGAGCAGGGTCATGGCCAGGACATGTCAAGTCAGGATAATTCAGATGATGACGATGATGAAGCCACACTAAGAGAACAGCTTCTCAAGTCTTTGGCTGTGAAAAGAAAAGCTAAACTGGATGTCGGGGTAAAATATGTTAAAATAAACTTACATCTTGTACAAATGCACAATGACTTCTGTGCACAGTATCAAAATTATTAGAAGCAAGTTTCAGTTTCTTTGATGTTTGAATCCCTTGAAATCCATTTCTTGCTTTTCCAAGTGTAGAGTTTTTTTGTTTTTCAAAAAAAGAGCTTATTTCAAGCAAAAGTCCAAATTAATAGTGGTAACAGGACTGAGTGGAGTCTAATTCAGTCTGTAATCATACAAGTGATTTACAAAATCAGACGGCCACAAGGCATGACATGTTCTGTCCTATTACACTTTCCTATTAGTGCTGAAATCAGGACAGTTGATAGCCAATCAGATTTGAGAATTTTGTTATATTTATGACTAGTACCATAATAATTACTTCTACTTTCTCATACTGAGTTCAAACTGTCATGGAAGTTACTGTCAACAAAATGATTGTGATATTCTGTGAAACAATTTAATGTTGCATTAATTTTCTTATTTAGAAGGAAACCAAATCTTCTCCAAAACAATCCAGCAGTTCAAGTTCACGTGTACAATCACCAACTATGGCTGCTAACAATGAACAACTGAAAAAGCTTCAACAGAATTCTCGACAGGTATTGTAAGTTATGGGTCTTAAGCCGGCAATCAAAGGCTTTAGAGTTTCCTGTGAAAATGTTTTGATATTGCAGTCTTGCATCTTTGCTGCTAATCACTGCAAGACCCTTTCAGACTTTTGAAGATTGGCAATTTGAAGCAATCTTCACTTATTCCCCTTGAAATTGAAATTAGACTGCTTACTGCGCTTTTCACAAACATGCGAACTCTAAAGTTCAAAAGCTGCCTTCACAATTGCGTTTTTCGCTGCTTTCAATCATAATTACGATCACAAGCAACGAACCTGGAAACGCAGAAACACACAAAACGGTTCGAAATTCACCAATCACAAATCATAAACCTTGACCTATTGAACCCGTTAAAGTAAAGTTTTGTTTCCTAAGAGGTCTGTTAAGATGATAGACGGCAGCGAAAAACGCAATCGTCAGTTGGCTTTTGAACTTCAGAATTCGCACGTTTGTGAAAAGCGCAGTAAAAAACAATAGCATCTCTTGAAAATTAGCCTAAGTTTTCAGTTGTAATCCATGTGAATGACCACCTAAGAACAGTCTTTAATGCGTAGTTTACTGTTATTCTGTATTTTCTGCTAATTTTAAATATTAATACTTTTTTTGATATTTTCTTCAATCTTAGAATAGTTTTTAACCGTTTAAAACAAAATAACTCAAAATATCTTGACAGAGCCTCTTTAAGGTAAACATGCTGTAAATGCCAAACAACTTCTGTGTTTGTTTTCAAGGTACATGTACAAGTGCATCGTTGTTCATAGCTTCCTTATGGTGATAATTGTTTAGGTCCTCAAACAAAAATGAAAAAAATAATAAATTGAAGATAATGGAATGGAAGTTTGATATGACAACTCTTTCAACTTGGCCTCATTCATTCTCACAGGTGTCATTTGTTGCGCCCCCTAAGCATGAGCCAGTGGTCATAAAGCTGGGAGAGGATTCAGATTCGGAATCAGATCGATCTGATGCCGAGTCTTCAAAGAAAAAAGTCTCCAGCAATAAAAAGGCTGGGAATGGTTTATTTGGAGGACTGGAAATGATGATCAAAGAGGCTAGAAAGTCTGCAGAGGTAAGCAGAATACCAATAGTATGGAGTGACTTACACACTGTTGTTTCAGGCTTTTGTTATAGCGTGATTGCATGGTACACCATGTTACAACTGTACGTGCACAAGGCTGTGCTCTATGAGAAATTGAAGGGAGCCCAGTGCTCTGAACGTGTGAAATCCAAGGCACTCAGCATATGATTTGAGGAAAAAAAGTAAGATTTTCTAGTAGCCCAAGAGCAAAAGTTAGCCACCACACGCCACTGGGTGCTGCAAGGGTACAGCCCTGGTGCTTTATTATTATTTCCAAAGAAAAGTGATTGGAATTAGACAATGAAAAATCTTAGGATTATTGCAAAAAGCAATTGACCAGAATTTTCCATTGTCTCACTCTTTTTAGAGCATACAAATGACCCTGTCAAAATGTTCAAAACTAAAAAATGCTGTGGAATCACTCACTGTTCTACACGTTTTTGACGTTTTGCAGAAATGTACCATTGTGTTGATTACTTTCAATAGTTTTCTAGTCCTAGCAGTTTCTAAAGTTCAACCTATGCCCTAATAGTGCACATCAAAAGTTCTGCCCCATAAATTCAATTACAAGTTGTCCGACAGGCAAGCAACACTTACCAAGATATTAGAAAACGGGGTCGCAGGTTATAACAAATTTTTTGATACTCAACTCACCCTGCTTTAGATGACATCTCAGCACAATGTTTGGCTACATAAGAACTTACTTATGTTCACGCTTTACTGGATTGCTTTACCTTCGACAAGAAAAGCTATCCAGTATATAAAGGGTTTAGTTTATCATTTGTCTCACGATTGTCACTTTGATAGTGATTGCGACGTTTCGACTGCACACTGCAGGTCTTCCTCAGGAGATAGTGTTGATTTACTGAGTCAGACTACATGTCTGTGGTCGAAACATTCAGATCAATATCAAATTGACAATCATGAGACATACGAAAAACTAAACCCTTTATACATGTTATCCATGATGATTGATATCTTTCATGACACTATCTGGTATAATACAAGCAGTAATGGCACAGAACTGGAACACACACATTGAAAATCATGTCGAAGCGGTTGGCTGAGAGGGTTTGGTTCTGCAAATCCAGATTCTCACTCTTGAATATTTATTTATTTACCGTACTTACATCTCAGTGGTTTCTAGTCCTCTTTCCTAACCTATTCTCTTCTGTTATGGTCCAAATACCTGTTGACACTACACTAAAGTGTGGTGCAAAACCTACCGGTATCGATATGTGATGCTCCACTTTCGAGACCAGCACAGCCCTTCTCTGTTACAGAAATCATGCTGAAATGGCTGCTCTTACGTGTGAACAGAAACCCTTTCTGGTATGATTATCATGCCTGCTCAAAAGCTATCTGGTACAGCTGTATAGTGTGAATATACCATAAAATTCCGAAAATAAGCCCCCGGGCGTATATTTTTCAAAGGCCCTTTTTGAGGGGCTTATTTTTAGAGGGGCTTATATTCGGAGGGGCTTATCTACGGAGGGAAATTTGCATTTTAAAATCGATTGAACTAGCTAGCCTCATAGTTGGAAGTAAGTTTACCGTTTTTGCTTTGTTTTACCTTTGTATTTGAGGGCAATTTTCCCCAAATTGAGCACCAGAATTCGAGTTTAGTCCTTTCTGTGTGTTTTCCCTTTGTCAATTGTTGTTCTTCTTCTGTTACTAATTCAGCTTAATGTTGAGACAGGAATGCATACTTGAATTTTTTGTCAATTTTCAGGCTTCCAAGGTAAAAAGTAATGCAGATGCAGAATCATTACAAGATGACACAGTTAACCCATCCAGAACAGACCTGCCACCTGAACCCAAGACTCCAGATGCAATGGATCATATGCCTGAGCAAATGAAAACTGAGTACAGAAGGCTAAAGGAACAGTTAGCCATGCGTGAAAAGACCAGGCAGCCACTTGCCAATGTTAACCAGGAAAAAGGTACTAAATTATATGTTGAAGTTAATTAAATTAAGGTAATTTTTATTTGTCCTTTGTTTCAACTTCATTAGCATACATTACCATACCCAAAAACCAAAAAAAATTAAATTACCTGCAATAAAAAATTGACGACAACATTGGACATTATGCAGTCAAACCCTGCTTTACAGACTCCCACGTAACCCTTTAAGTCCCAATAGTGACCAAGATCAATTTCCTCCTATCAATATCCATACATTGTCAACAGATAAGTTATGAGAATTAATAAAATGATCACCCAAGTAAAAATGCCTTGATCTTTTATCAAATTCTCTCAACTGATTCTTTAAGGAAACGTATGGAGATCAGTTTGGAGAATTTGTATGTGAATACTGGGGCTTAAAGGGTTAATATGGACACCTCATTATGATCGACAGTTTGCCTTGCTTCTGGAGAAAGGAAGCCTTTATATTTTGTCTAAATTCAACCCACTTAATATGGACACTTTCTATGGCCCCCTCAGTGTTTATATTGACATGATTTGACTGTACATTCCTACCCTCGTAAGTACATGTCTGGTAAAAGGCAATCCCACTGTCTGATCTAATCTATTGCTACCTGTTTAAATTTCTTCTCCTTCTACTTACGTTTTCCAGGGAACCCTGTTTTCAAGTTTTTGAATCTCTGTTCTGATCATAAATTTGTTATTTAATACAGGAGCATTGGATTTGATTCCCTCACTTTTAAGAACGTGCTGTTCATGTAAAAATCTTTAGCACCTTTACTCAGACATTCTGTTTGCTTTGTAAAGAAGTTAGAAAAAAATCTACGGTGTGGCTCAAAATCTTGGACAGCTATCAATGTGCTTCAGGTAACTATTACATGTATAAATTTGTTGTCTTTTTTTTGTAGAAGATAGTTGTCAGATATCGGCATCTGAAGATCAAGCCGAAGATTCTATTGAAGATGACAGTAGCCACTTACAAAAACTCCACAGTTATGTGACAGAGTGTGAAGAGAATCTCACCAAGCACAAGTAAGCTTCTTACTCGAACATTAGAATTCAGTATCTTTCTGACGGTAAAACTGATTGTCAGTCAGTTTCAAGGCCATATTTTTTGTGTGACTGCCATTAATACTAACTGTTATTATCATGCCCTTACTTTCCCCTTCTGTTTTAAAAAATCTTTTTCACCTCTTGCATTATTGGCACTTTATAGTCCTTTCTTGGAAAAGTACAGTTTTGTTTGAATCTTTCATTTCAATCCTAATATACCAGTAGACAGCAAAGAAAATAAAGGTTTTAAGGTTTAAAGATGGTGATGGATATCGTTATTCACTGGATAAATCACTTTCTAGGGTTTTTGGTCATCTTGCCACCAACAAAATCACCACCAAGAAGTCTACTTCTTTAATAACCTGCAGTTAATTTTAATCTGTCAGCCGAATGTCTGTTGGTGAACTGTCAATCGACAGTCTAATGACAGTTGTACTGGAGAAACCAGTTGTGCTATCCATTGGATAGTTCCAAAACATGGCACTATCCACCCTTGAGCAACTGGAGCCAGCTTATACACTGTAGTTTTAGCTCAATATGCTATCAAGCTGTATACCAAGAATGACCGTGTCATTTAAACAAATAATATTATCATAAATGCAGAGAAAGCTTGTTTCAGTATTGTGCCACTTGGTTTGTCTTTAAGACTCCATTGACATGAAACATGATATCACAGTTTGGTACTTGGCTTTTCTTAGTGCTTTATTACCTGCATTATGACTTAATGTTATAACATCTTTTATCTTTCAGGACGTTTATCCAAAAAGACAAAGCAATTTTAAATAAAACACTTAGTGAATTGAAAGAAAAAAGTCGCTCACTTCAAGCACAAGAGGAAAATGTGAGCAAACTTCGCCAACAGCTTGAGGCTGCTCAGAAAATTGCTCTTGCTAACAGAATGCTGATAAACAGGCTGCGCAATCAGGCAAAGGCAGTGAAGGAAAAAGTTGGGAAGAAACAGCTTGCAGCAAGCAACTTTGAAGAAGACCTTCTTAGAGCCAAAAGTATTCTATCAGCGGTAAGAAGGAAAATGCCTGATGTGGGAGATACAGGATCTGGGCGAAACAGCCCCCAAATGGATTCTTTATGTGGTGTTTGCAATGAAAACCAAAAGTTTATGATCACTTCTGCTACTGCTCAGGAGATACAAAGTTCACTTGCAGCAAAGCTTGACAAGTTGTCTGCTTTATCCAAATTGGAAAATAGGGAAAAGAGGAAGCTTGAAGGAAATAGTGACTCTTCAGAGGAAACGGTGAGTTGTCTTAGAACATATTGCTTACGAATATCTATCGGTTTTCTAATATTATTATTTTGCTTTGTTAGGTTTCCAAGAAAGCAAAGCCAGCTTCCAGTCTACCAGGAGAGGCGAGTCCTGCTTCTTCAGGACCTGGCACACCAAGAAAGTCTGCAGTGGCTGAGCGTCTTGCACAAGAAAAAGCACGGCTCAAAAAACTTGAACATGAACTATTACTGAAGCTTAAGTCATTTGGAAGACACCAGGAGGAAGATAAGAATCATCCTTCATTGAGCAAGCAATCACAAAACAATGATAATACTGAACTTGAGAGAGTTGATGCACAAAAGATGAGGGCTCAACAGTTGAGTGATGGTTCAGGTAAGCAAGTTTTGGAGTCCAGAGATCAGCATCTTCAGCTTCCTGCAGGTAATGATAAGGATGCCTCACCAAAAGACACCCAAAGTCAAGAAGTGAAAAAAATATCCATTTCTCCTGAGCAGTTGGAATGGATCAGAAAATTACAGGTCAGTGTCATGTTTTAAGTGAAGGTTTAGTATAGAGAGGAAGAGTTGTGATGTCATGTTGCCACAGTAGCAAAATGTCTGGATGACAACAAGCCAAAACGTCACTTAAAAAGTGGATTCGCACTGTTTCAAGCTTCATCGATCTTATTTAATTTGTAAATGTTGGTTAAATATTCTGGGTTGAATCCAGAAGTACCGTATCTAAGTAAAGAAAAGGAAGAAGAAAATTTTTGTGTTGTGCTCACCTACTCCATAAAGCGGGCACATGCAATTACAAAGTTTCATGTCGCAGTTGTGCAAGAGTGGCTAAGAAATGTACAAAAAAGCATGATGCTAGGTCAAAGTTGTTCTTTTGCCAATCTAAACCTATTACTTTTTGGCTGTTTGCCGTTGCAAATACTTCCTATTGTTGTGATCCAGAAATTTTGCTACCATGGTAACATGACATCACACTTCTCCTCTCTTTTGTGTGGTGTAGTTAAATGTAATTACCTAATGTTAGTGAGTATGGACAAGCAGTATCATCATACTGTTAAGGGTGCATGATTTCAACTCAGTCCCCCTTATGTTGAAATCCCTTTGGGGGGCCTGTTTCTCGAATTTCTCAGTAATTATTCGGGCCATGAAATAATATTCAAATCAAACTCTTAAGGATAAAGTGCATTTTTTTTTTTTAAAAAAAAGTCCATTTTGTTTTGTTAACAAGTGTGTGATGTAGTTTTGAGGGTTGTTCAATACTCACAAATAGACTGCATTGGTGTTAGTGGTGATAAGAAGGGTCTCCATTGGTACCAATGGTACGATTGGTACCAACAGAAAATGATGTCATTCGCATGGTTCTACTAGTGAATATGCATCTTATTAAGGGGACTTAGATTATTTTCTCCTGTGCTCTGGTTGGGCACAGGGCAATTCCAATGGTCCGTTATTACATTGGAATGACATCATTTTCTATTGGTACCAATCGAACCATTGGTACCAATGGACTATCAGTTTGACAAATCGTATCCGTTTGTGTTTATTGGACATGTGTGGTAGTTTTATCCTATTATCTGCAAAACTATTGAAACCTTGATCTTGAATGTCAATAAAAACGGTTTTCTGAGGCTGGTAATAATTGGGACTTTTGTGACATGGGATCCTGACCAGTAGATGGTGTTGTTCCTGTTAGCCCATAAAGAATACCTGTACATGTACAATAGTTCATTTAGTTCTTGGGCATCTCCTAGGGTGAAAAAGAGAAGAATGGTCAACACTTTTCAGGCTTAAGTCCTGATGTCCCAGCAGTAGCAGCTCACCAGCGTTCTACACTGTGTGTTTGGTTACCATTCGATGGTGACCTGTCAAGCACAGTAACTGATGATGACACTGGTGATTTGTGCAAAGAGCAGGAGGGAGGCACGAGATCTGTGGCTGAAGAACCAAGTGGAAAAGAAAGTAATGATTTGATTTCCTGTCCTCTGGAAAAGTACCAGAGCCTGTTGAGATACTTCAGGTCTTACAGGTATATGTGGATGAGTTTTGTAAGGGCCTGTTTACACAGAAGTGGGGGACCCCAGATAGGTGAGGTAACGTGCGGTGGGTTAAACCACCTATCATGTACACTGTAAAATTAATGTGATCAAACTAAAATGAGAGATTATGTGGACAGGCAGGTTATCCCACCTAAGCAGGTTACCTCACCTACCTGCGGTCCCCCCCTCCATGTAAAGAGGCCCTAAATGTATACAGTTGTAGAAAACAAAAATGAAGTGGTCACTGAGTAATAAAAAAACACTTTAAGACTGGTCTCAAGAGAAACACTTCATTTTGTTTCCCGAAAATCTCAAGTACAGGGAAACAATATTAACTGCAACCCAACGTCCATGTGCAACCATGTCTTTTGCTTCAACATTGTTTCATGTAGACTGACTTTTCAACCTTTGCCGTTTTGAAGATCGGTACCTCGGTCAGAATTTTTACTCTTGAATCGAAGATTGTTTTGGATAGTTTTCAATTCTCAGGATTGTCACTAAAATTTCAAGTTGCCAGGTAAATTCATGTAAAACACATAGGAGGGGAATCAAACAGCTAGGGGTTTCTTTTGGTTCTACTTTTCATCTATTTTCCTTTGAAAGTAGCCAGGGGCCACATTCATAGTAGCCCCCACGTCTTAATGACAGTCCTGAATTCCTCAACTGAAGAATGGATATTGAAGCCATTGATGACCTCTTTAAAGAGGCTGTGTCATGACTGTCTAGTTCATTGGGTTAACCCTTCAGGTCGCACAAGTGACCAACATCAATAATATTTTCTCCTAACAACATCAACAGATCATCAAGAGTGAAGGTTATGAGAATTGCTAAATTGATTAAAAAAGGGAGAATGCTTTGATCTTAAACCAGATTGTCTCAACTATTCTTAAAGGAAATGTATGGAGATCTGTGTGGAGAATTTGTATGTGGATCTTGGGGCTTAAAAGGTTTTATTTATTGCCAATAACATGCTTAAGGAATTGAATGTTAGTGAGGAATATACTCTCAATGACTGACAAAATCACAGCTTCTTATCATGCAAATATCTCTCCCAAAGTATTGTACCAAATGTTACAAACAACAAAATGAACTTTGACAAACAGTGTCAAGCTAACAAGTTATCAAAAATGTCAATTGCAATCCATTTTAATCTTCCTCATGTTTGTCTATCCGTGCCTCCTTTTGTATTTGCTGTGTTATTTATATAGTCTTTTAATGTTTTGAGCAGTTTTTTTAACCCTTTAAACCCTAAGATCAAAATTTGAATTCTCATTTGTTGCCCCTATTCATTTCCTACTGAAGTAGTGGGGAGAAGTTAATAAAATATCAAGCAACTTCATCTTGTGTGATCATGTCTGTAATTCTCATGACCACTCTGTTTTACAAAGCTTTGACATTACAAGGAGAAATTTTATGCTGATCACTCTTAGGGCTTCAGGGTTAATGTTTCACTCAATTTTGTGGTAGCCCTCACTGCTGGAATTTTGATAAACTTCTTGACACAGCTTCTTTAAGTTCAAATTTTATTCTTCCTAGGAAAACTTGAACAGACTTTCCTGTACCATAATATTAATCCTAACAACTGCATATGTTGTTTGTTTATAGATTAAGCCCTTACTTCAGAATTGAACAAGGATTGTCTCTCACCTCTTTAACATTTTCAAATAAACTGAACTTCAATTGGCCACTGTGCAATTTCGATCTGCAAGGCAAATGCAATGACGAGGACTGCAATTTCCAGCATTTTGCTCAATGCAAATTATCAAAGGAACAAACACTGCAAGATTTGGCCTCTTACAATCCAAATTTCACTGTTGAAAATCAAGAATTGCAAGAGATTCAGGAAAGTATTGAGTCTTTCACGAAAGCTTTTGCAAAACAATATCAAGACAAGATGACTTGGGAAGAACTTTGTATATTACTTGCAAATGATTTGAGGAAAACCCGAAAGGGTAATGGACCATTTAATATCGCTCTTCATCCTCGAAGTTGGAGACTAAAGCAGAGGGATAAAAAAGAGGAAGAAATCATAGAAGACAGTATTCCTGATTTAGGACGGGGAATTGTTTTTGTTAAGAGAGACAAAATCCATGGTGCAGTTACACAGACTAGAGAGACTGCCAAGAAAAAAGCAAGGCCTGTAAATGAAGAAAGGTAAGTCTTCTGTTACAGTGATGTGTTACACAGTATGTTTGATGGCCAGTTGCACAAAATTATCCTGAATTTTCAGTTAACTGAATGATTGTCGTGACAGATAATTGTTCATCATGGGTAATGTGTATAAAGGGTTTTGTTATCATTTTTCACAATTGTCACAGTGACTTAGATATTGAACACAACCTTTTGCAATAATGTCGATTTTACTGAGTAGAACTATTTGTACCACCATGTTTGTTAATCACTCACATTTTTTAAATGGACACCATCGTCTTATGAAGACCTACAGCACATGGTCGAAATGTCACAATCAACATCTAAGCGACATACAATATTATTGTGAGGCAAACGATAAATGAAACCCTTTATAACTGATTGATTATTTATAATTGTCACTCACTTCCCTCCACAAAAATGTACAGGGGATTACTTATAAATGCCCTTGATGAGGTCCTAGAATGTATCTTATTACCAATGCCATTGCTCCCTTAACACTGAAAAAATACCCTTTTTAATGTAGGCCTCACAACATAATTATCCAATATATACGTTGTATTATGGTTTGTTTGTTCAAGGGCTTCATGGTCATGTGTAAGTGCTTCAATACGCAAAAGAAAGGAATTATATTATGTTAACTTCATGATGTTATCCAAAACTGGAGGGCAGTTGGGTGTTGTGTTCGTCCCACTGAAGGTGAAAGTTATGGTGCAGGAATTATGTATCTGTAAGCACTACTTTTAGTATTTCCAAAAACCTTTCAATTGATTGGTCATCAAGGAATTAACTGCAAACTCAAAGGTTTGAACTGCATTACATACAAGTAGTACATGTATGTTTGTTATTGACTGTGGTAAAGCGTAGGAATAAGCTGGAAGTGCATGAAACTTTTGAGAGTCATTGTCTTGCTCATGTATTGCAGCCAGGAAATACGCTACTTTGTGGAAGAATACAACAACATCGAAACCCTTGAAGATTCATTGGAAAACTCGCCTACTGATGTAGCTTTATGGATTACGCTTGCAAGGTTAAAGCTTCATGAGAAACCTGTTGATATCAACACAGAAAATGAGGACACCATCAGGAATAATATTGCACAAGCGCTTAGTACCCTGTCAAGAGGATTAGAGGAAAACACCCATTCAGAGGTAAATGTTATGTCTTATTATATCCATTTTGAAAGCACTGGTGATCCCTGCAATCTGATTGGCTCTCAGCAGTGTGATTTATTTATGATTAAATGGCACCATTTTCTCTCTATATTGGATCATTTCTGTTTGGGTACAAAATGAGATGTAAAAGCCGTTTTGTTTCCTCTTTTCAACAAACCGGCTACTAGATCAAATAAATATTGGTACTGACTGAATTTTGCAATTTCAAAATGGCTATAATAAAGTGGTAATTGAACTTCATGTTGTGTCTTTTTTGTCTGAAAATTAATTATACTTATTATTTCAAATCGGACTCGCACGATTTTTAAATCACGCGTATGGTTTCAGACCAAATTGCACTCCACTCAGTTTAATTACCGTTATGCATTGTCTAATAACACCTTTTATTCCAAGGCCAATTTATGGCAAGAGTATTTTTTCACTCCTACTTTTAAATAGCCTGCATAGCAAGCATTTCTGCTCAAGGTATTGAGAGAAACTTGATCATCAGTTGATCATCTCATCATGAAAACTGCGCAAAGTAAATTCTTAATCATTAATTATTATTAATTAAAAGTTGCAGGTAGAGGACTGAGAAGAAGAGGAAACTCCTTCTTTCCCCTCCCCCTCCCCCTTCTTTTATTCTCTTATTTAATTTTGTTTTTTGCTCTCATTCCAGATTTCACCCATTAACACGAGCAGAAATGCTTGCTACACAAATGTGCGAGCAGATTCCTAATTAATGACCCCTCTTTAACAGATCTTTTATATTGTAGTTTTTTATTTTTTAGGAAATTATGTACTTTTTTTTCAAAAAGAAGTTGGAAATTGCTAGTGAATTTTCTCCTTTGGTATCTTTTAGGATACAAAAAAGGTTAATACTTTTCTTGATTTCATGTTTGCAAAAGTGTTCGGAAAGTGTCAGCTACTATGGCCTTTCAAGCAAGCACAGTGACCAATATTATATCATTTTTAGTGTCAACTCTTGCAGAATTTACCATATTTGTCAAAAGCAGCATAATGTTTGTTTTGTAACTTTCTTGTGCAGGAATTGTGGCTGGAGTACTTGGAATTATATTCATCACAGAGCACCCAAGATGAGCTCCGTGAGATCTGTGACCAGGCAGTAGAGTACTCACCAACATACAGTGTATGGTGGCAGTATTTGGAGTATTCGGAAACATACCATGCCAAGAAGACTGTCTGTTTGCGTCTGTTGTCCTTTCTTGTAGAAAACCTTGTTGATCCAAGAGAACTGCACTCACATCACATTCTTGAGACACTTCTTTACCTGGTTCAACTTGAACTGTACTCTGGACACTACAAATCAGCATTAGCTGTTTTCCAATCAGCGATAGCTAAGAAACGGAACTCGTCAGAAGTTGCTGATCTATCTGTTCACATGTTACCTTCTGATTGTTGTCTTGCTTGGTTAGCTTACATTCACGTATTTGAATTTCACCGACTTCCTACACCCTGGTTTGACCCTCAACAAGGCAAGCCTTCCAGAATGGTAACAAAAGAAGATTTTGTGTTCCCTTGGAAGCCATCAAAACAATCCAGAGCCTCTGGAGAAAAATTGCTAGCATTGTTTCAAGGTACATGTGTATCGTTATGTAAAAGTAATCAGTTTTGTAGCTCCAGTGCACAAGCAGTGCCTTTAAGTTCAATTTTTGTTTTTGAGCCAGCTTTTATTTCTTGATACAGTATTCCATGGTCACAAAGCATCTAGATATTCATGCAAAGTTTTGCAAGGTTTAAAATCTTGACAAAGTTAGTTACTGAAAATGCAGCTACAGTACTATTTCTGTGTGATAATTTATTGGTAGAATATAAACTGTTTGAGCACCTTTTCTGTTTATTTAGTTTGTTAGTTGTTTTTTTTTCTTGGTGTTATATCAGGGCAGAAAATAATGCTAGATACCCTGGGATATGGAGTAAAATGTTGATCAGCAGCTGTAGGATATGTTTATTGCAAGTTGTCTGATGGTCAAGTTTGTTTGTTAGCTTCAAGTTTTTAACTTAATAATGTTCTGTGCTTGCTCTTCTGAGTGCAGGTCTAGAAAAATGAACAAAAATTCTTGCTTAGGGAAACAAGTATTTATTTCTATTTTCAACTCACCTTGCAGATGCTCTAAAAGCCTGCACTGCTTTAGTGAAATCATCTTCCTCCAGACTTAATGTTTGCCTGCCACTTTACAAGAACCTAATTGCATTGGAGAGAGCATATGGTAGAATAAGCTCTGCGGAGGGAATCTGCCGTCACCTGCTGAAAGACAATCCATCTGTGGTGGTACTTTGGTTGTGTCTGGCAGCACTTGAAGATGCCATGAAGAAGCCAGGAGAGGTAGAGAAGGTGTATAAGGAAGCACTGCTGAGATGCAAGTGTCATGCTGAGGTGTCCTATAGTGCTGCTCGCTATTATCTGGAGCAGGTTCGTGAGAGACACAGTTCTATTTGTGGAATTTTTGGAAAGGCTTTTTAAGGTCCTTGAATCCCATAATTATGTCTTTGGAATGGTGAGAAAGAGGGTAGATTTTTTGTTGTTTTTGATTTTGTAGCTGTTACTGCCTCATCCTACAAATTCTGGTTTAACCTTGTAGGCCTTCCTTTTCGTTTTGAATGTCATAACGTTGCTTAATCTAACATAGAGATTGAGAGAATGATCCTTTGATCGGTAAACCAGACTTATAGAAATATGGAGAGAAAAGTGCAGAGATTATGCATGTTGATATTAAAATTGAAAGGGTTTTCGTGGTTTTTGTATGACCGGTGACATGTTGGATGCTTTACATTAAAAGGTTTGTTTATACAGTCAACTCTCTCTAAGCCGGATACCTTTGGGACTGGCACCAAGTGTCTGTCTTAGAGAGATGTCCATTAACCTTTTAAGCCCCAAGATCCACATGCAAATTCTCCAGACTGATCTCCATATATTTCTTTTAAGAATATTGAGAGAATTTGGTTTAAAATCAAAGTATTCTCCCTTTGGTAATCAATTAAGTAATTCTCATAACCTTGACTCTTGATGATCTGCTGATGTTGTTAGGAGAAAATTGATGTTGGTCACTCTTGGGACCTAAAGGGTTAAGAGAGAGTCGACTGTGGTGGAAAGTGCACTTAGCTTATCCAGCTAGTTTACAGGCACTCCACTCGAATAATTTTAAGCAAATCATTCAAATAGAATATAATTATCAGTGTTTTAAAACCCAATTGGCTATTTACAAGCATGGCTGAGGATTTGGACTCAGGAGAACTGGGAACAAATCCAGCCGGTGGACTTGAACCTTGTACCTCTGTATTTCAAGTCCAACTCATTGACCACTCGGCCTCACTGCCCCCTACATTGCCTTTTTTCTGTCCACAGGGTGAAGTGCAAAAAGCTGTAACAGTTCTTGTCAAGTGTGTATTGAACAAGTTTGCATCAGACAGTAAGACACCTGAGGGTGAGGTACTCAGCTTAGCTGCTGCTACCCCTTCTGAGCATAATGGACCTGATCCAATTGCCCTGTACCGCCGACTTTTATCACAGCCACTTCCTTATGACTACAAGTGTCCTTCACTCATGCCAGGAGTTTTACCGCAGAGCTTGGGAAGAGAGAAGCTCTTTTTGTGGCTCTCCTATTGGTAAGTTGATGGTAATAATAATAAATTTTATTAGTAGTAGTATTAAGTATTAGTATTATTATTACCAGTAAGCTCCTGAGTGTGGACCATCAAGCAAGAAGGGAAACCTAGACTTGGTACTTGTCATTCTTCGTTTATTTTCGTTTACTTGTTGTAAGTCGGACAGCTCTCAATAACAACGGTTTCTTTCTTAGAGAGACTGGGCGGTAGGTTTTTTATTTTCCCGGATTGCTCCTGGGGTTATTGACACTTCTGGCCATTGCCATTCACAAATGTCCAAGCATGTTGTCTGATTTGTTTATTAGCTTGTTACTGGAGATTTCACCACCAACCTCATCTGAGTGGGACAACCTGACACCAGATGCAGCATTTGAGACAGCAGTGCACAGCCCTTTAGACAGACAAGACATCCAAATACTGTGGACAGAATATCTACTCTACCAGAGATCCAAAGTCCTGAAGAGAGACAAGTCATCATCAGTGTCAGGGCAATCCATGGATGAACTAGTAAACAGATGCTTGATTTCAGTGAGCACCAGTAGCTCTTTGCCTCATTCATCAAGTGCCGTATGGCAAGACCACAGGTTTCATAATCAGGTAAGCTATAACAAAATTGATTTAACAACTGCATCTATGAATAGAGGTTGGGTGCCTGTAGTATCCAGGGACTACCACTCTTGGTAGCCAGCCCCTAGATTGAATAATGTCCCCATGGCTGGCACACCGGCGCAACACAGCCATGAGCCCCTACTTAAAAGGAAACAAAACAGGCACACGTCATACTGAAAATATAATCAGTGGAGAAGAAACCCCTGATTAATTTAGGTTTCTGGGAAACTACCCACCTACCCCTCCCCTAAGCCAGCAGTTTGCCTTAAGTGGGAAGTAAGTGATAATGTTGACTTTTAATAGGGGAGGGGTGGGTGGTCAATTTCCCAGAAAGCTAAATTGATCCGGAAACACAAGGAGGGGAGAAGAATTGGCTGAAAGAAACCTTGTGGCAGGAACAACGCAGCACGAAGGAAAACTCGTCACATCACGGAATCACGCGAAGGATGTTGAGGACTACCAACCGACCGCGGACCACTAGCGCTGAAGACGCTCTTAGTTATTACCGGAAATCCTTTGTTAAGCCCTCCTTCTCCAATAAGCCAGTAATGTAGGAGCTGCTCGTAAGCCCCCCCCGCCCCCGCGGCGAAAAAGGGCTTGATAGTATTGGGGAGTAAACCCTTAAATCATTTCGTTACAGAAAATCACTTTCTGTTATTAATGCGAGTCGTCACAGTTTCCAGTTTAATTTTAATAAACTGGTTCAAGTTCCTAGGCTCGCTACATTAACAAAAGTCTTACTCACCTGGTTTGGTTTCTTATAACATGCTGGGTCTTCAGACTTTGACATCTGTGCAGTTTCGCATAATCTCCTTCGTAGCCCCTCGGGCTGGAGTCACGCAATACTCCGGGAGCATTGCGTGACTCCGGCCCCAGCGGCTGCTAAGGAGAGTAAGTGTTAATTATCCTCAAGAGTGTGTTATAAGTGCCTGGAGGTAACATTCGTGGTGATATTAGAGTGCGTTAACCCCTCAAACCCTAACATCAAAATTCAAATTCTCATTTGTTATCTCTATACGTTTTCAATAGAACTAGTGGGGAAAATTTGTTGAAGTATTAATTAGATTCATCTAGTGCGATCATGTCCTTAATTCTCATGACCACTCCGTTTTACAAGCATTGATGTTACAATGAGAAATTTGATGCTGATCACTCTTAGGGCTTACAGGGTTAAGGTGTGTGGCCTGCAGGTTTTACTTGGTTGTGATACTGTATTTCATATGTCATTAATTCTTTCAGGTTATCAGCATCTCACTAAGCTGCAAGTCCCAGTCTTCTTGGTCAGCCTACTTCCAAAAATACTTGAGATTGTTCCCAGGGAACGTCAACTTAGCACTATGGTATGTTTTTCAGTGTATACCGGGCTAGTTCATAGTTGAGGAGACTGGTTATGAAAGCTGAAGAACATCAAAGATGAAAACAACGGTGCTGGGGTTTATGTTTAGCCTTCACACAGTAGTTCTTTTGGCTCGTCACGCAATGCTCCCGAACGTGAGGCAGAAACGCGTCACGAACCCCGTAAGAACGTCCGCGCGGAAGGCTAGTTTATGTTTGGAGCTCCCTGATGGCGCAAAATCTTCTGCTTTTTGTTCATAAGTTGTAACCGTCAGTATATTTATGTGACGTTTTTATTGGTTAACAAGATTAAAATGATAGGAATGCTACCTTCAAGTCCAGGAAAGCTAACAAGGACATATAACAAAGAAGTCAGATGGCTAACCATGGCTAATCATGCGTCTCGACTTTTCATTCAACTTGTTGACGCAACCATTAAAATATTGTGCTGAGAATTATTTGCGGGGAATAGTAGATTGTTGCACTCGATGTTGCCAAAAACATTTCATTTGGTATGTTGCTCAATTTATTTTTACAGGTCCTGCAAGCATGAAGTGGAGAAGAAAAATCTTGACCAAGCAAAGAGAATCAGTTCCTCATTTCTTTCAGAACATCCGCACTGTATTAGCATGTGGAAGGTGTACCATTCATATGCTTTATGCATTTTCCACGGAAAACCTGTTTTAACATTTCCTTTAAGATGGCTGTTTCACTAATTTTTACATTTCTATCTAAGGTCACGCAAAACGTTTTGGTAAAAAGAAACGTACGGCCTAGTTTTGTGTAGAATGACTAAAAAAGTACAATGAGATAATTTATAGGCGATGCGAATCCTCAAAGTTTTTGACCCAAGCCTTTGAAGACTGTGGTTGGTTGTCAAAATGTACTTGAAATCTACCTCTTCATAATTGAAGAAACGTTTGTACGTTTAAGTGTTAAGGACTCTGTCAAAAACTTTAGCAGAGTTAAAATCAGCCTGACAAACTGGAGCGCCTTTCTTCTTTGTTTAAGTAAGAACATTCTTATACTTTTTAGCTTTGAAAGCCTTGATTTGAATGACTGTCTTTCTTGTGTTGTGTGTTGTTTTCCTTTTTGTTCCTAACAGGGCTATTTCTGTTGAATTAAGGAGACATTGCATCAAGGAGGTAAAAAGTTTTTTTTCATTTTTGCCGTGTCCATGTTCGTCAGGTTTAGGATATGGGAAAATCTAGTCTTGCCAATAAAAAGTGTTAACAGTCATTTAACAATAACTATCAGCCATTATTATTATTATTACTATTATTATTATTTTAAATATCCGTTATTATTATTATTATTATTATTATTATTATTATTATTATTATTATTATTATTATTATCATCATCATCATCATCATCATCATTGTATTAGTGGGTAAATCCTGTCTGTTTCCTAGGCCCGCAAGATGTATCAACAGGCCACTATGGTTATACCACTTGGTGCAACTCTCTGGAAAGATGTAAAGTTCATCAACATTTATTTTTTATATCAGCTTTGCTCTCCGATCTTTTGCTGCTGTACCTTTGTTTTTGTGTTTAATTCTTTTGTCGTTCAAGTTTTTCCTTTCCTGTCCTGAAATTCAGGTTCATTGTCCTCTTTCATGTTCACAGTATTTGATGTTCGAGCTTGCCCAGAGTGGCGATGGCCCCGATGTCCAGGAGATTGTGGCGAAAGGTCGTGAAATAGGTGTTGATCTTGAGGAGTTCTTGAACACTCTTCTTGGTAAATGAGAGTGTTTGCATCGCTTGACAGTAAACGCTGCCAAACGGTTTACGGTAAACAAACGGACGGTTACAAAGAACTAAAATGGAAGGTGACTGAGTGCATGACATCTTACCGAACGCAGGTATATACTAACCTGCAAATTGACTACCACAATGCTTACAAAGGGACAGTTATTGTTTCTTTTAGTACAGTATCTTACCAAAAACTTCAGTAAGATACGATGGACTCTTTTTGTACAATACGCAGCAATCTTCAACAGGCAGAAAGGAACACACTGTTGTAGGGAAATCACCTGTTTTAGGGATAACTTCCATTGTGTGACATTACCGGTTCAATGCACAAATCCTGTTGTAGTTACAAACTTCCGTCCACGTAACATGTCCCATGAAATTTTGCGTTCCGGAGTTAGGACGAAATGACTCCGATTTTCAACGAATCACATTCAGTGCAAACGAGGGGACGTGTTGTCCCCAAGTGTGCGCCGGTCTTTGTCGTTGTACGAAGGTGAAGAAGTTCGCGGTTTTGTTTCATTGTTTACACCAAGACAATCTCTGTATTTAGGAAACTGGAAATTATTGTTCCAGTTTGTATAAATGTAGTTTTATTCAATTTTTTAAACAAGAAGTTTTTTCGACTATGTACATTTTTCTATACAGTATTTCAGCTAAATACTAAGACTAAGACTGCATGCAGTCTTGTATGAAAAGTAATCCGAAAAATGGAAATGATTTGCTTATAAATCCAAAATTTGTACAGTTTTTGAGCGAACGGATGTCTTATTTTTGCAGTCGCTACAGTTGTGTTTAATACGCTTGAATGTATTAAAGAAAATTAGGCTCAGATTGTTGTATATCTTCTGCAAATTATTATTTTTCAGACCTAGTTAGGTGTAAGATGATTTCAGTCTTTTGTTAGTTTAGTGTAGTCTGTGCTTTTTCCTTTTATTGTGTTTTGATGTCGTTTTAGTTTTTTTTTAACGTACATCTTCAAAGAGAGCATTTCTTTATTTATTGTTATTTGTACAAGTATTTTGTGTTGTTGTTGTAAAATAGCTGATGTTAAGTTACGTGTGTTGAAAGCTGAGCTTTTATTTATATCAGAGCTTCACCAAACCATCGAGGAATTCCGAGTCGAGCGTTTAGAAGGCTTTGTAGTTAGTCAGTTATTCAATCAATCTTCTAGTTAGTCCGTCCGTCAATCAACTTGTCAGTCAGTCCGTTGGTCAACAAGTCAGTTGGCCTGTCTGTCAGCCACTCAGCCTGTTAGCCAGTCTGCCAGCAAGTCGGTCAGTCAGTCTGTCCAGTCAGCCGATCAGTCAACTAGTCAGTCGTCCTTGAGCAAATCAGTCAATTAGATCAGACAATTTAGTCAGTCATTCTGTCTCTCCCCCCCCCGCCGCTCCCCACTCAACCCCTGTAACCTCTTGTTGGTCGTGATGGACTCATTCCACTTATGGGCGAGTAGCAGTACTCTCTTATGCTCGTAAGCATCATTGTGTCCACGGGGTGGGTTTTGTTTGTTTGTTCCTTTGCTTATTTTCCCAGGTGCTGGCTTGAACAGATCAGGATAATGAATCAGATATATATATACAAGAAATAGCGTGCACACACAAGTGTCGCGCTATACTAAGATGGAAATTCTAAAAGAACAGTGATCTTATATGTTACGAGTCCTTTATATGGAGAAGGAAAGAAAGCAAGAACGTTTTAAGCCTTCTACAGCCTTTGGGTTGATATCGAACCTGAAGGATCACTTAAAGACCTCCTTGATCTGTGAGGCTGAACGAGATTGATTCAGACTCTAAATACTTGCCAATCGCATTCCAAGGGCACAGTAAAATGGCTTGTAAGTAGGACGGACGAATCTGCAGTGCCCGATAGCACTGAAAAAACTGGCTAGCTAATTAATTTATAACTATTTATTGTAATCTGTGGATAGAATAAGATTCAAGCTAGCCCAGACCGCCTTATTCAATAGTACGGGATAAAGACTATTCATATTTGTAATGGCAAAAGCAAACTTATTGTAGACACATTCTTATTTCCAAAACAAATTTGACCACTGGCTAATTCAGCGATGGTTCGTGGAATTCAAATTACTAGTTGTTTAGTGTTTAGGCTGTTTTACAAGCAAATGGCAAAAGACATTTCCAGTCTATTAGAGTATCTTGCGTTAGTTTGATATTCTATTCATGCATCTCTCCATCCACGTATTTCCGTTCTATTTTTCTTTTCGTTTCTCTCTCATTTCCTTTCCTTTTCGTTTTAAGTAGTTCTCTCTTTGTCATAATTTATTGTTATATTGACGTATTAGATTCATCCTTCATCCATCCTTTTTTCTCCTGTCATACATTAAAAGATAAAAAAAATAGTAATTAAACCAATCTTGACGTAGCCAAGATCCGTTTTTTGGCGCATTTTGTTGATTGAACGTTTTTTATATTGAATTGTTTTGATTTAACTCCATTTTGTGTCCGTGATTAATCTGGTTTTATGACAGCAACTTCAAGACGGGCCTACATAGAAAGAAATCAGTGGAGATTCTTTCCATTTTTACGTTTATACTCATGAAGGTGTACATAAGTTTTGCCATCTTGTTTACTTCGAAAAAATCTGTTATTTATGAATTAAAAAGTACTTTTTAAAGTGGAGATATTGATTCTTTGTACTCTACTTCCTTTTTCATTTCGTGCACATGAGATATTGTTCGTCACAATTCACAAAAGCATGCGACAAACACCTTTCAGTTGAATAGTAAGGTCAGAAGCTGTCGGATATGTTGTCATTAACGTCTTATTCACAGGCGTCTTTTTGTCATTCGACCTAATTGTTTTCAATTTCGAATTTAGGTTTCATCCGCCATCCTTGTTTGTCGTAGAATTTAATTATGATTCAACGGTACTCGAGTTTCAAGATCGTTTTTCAATTGTAGTCACTCAACTCATCTAAGATATTGCAATAAGGGGAATTTTCTTGCATTGTTTTGATGTCAAATTTGTTTTGAATGAATGTATGTACAAGCATGTCATTTCTTAACCAAAACGTGCGAATTTCCACACTTCTCTATTCTGGGTTAAGTCTTTTTAACTAAAACTTTTTCATTTGATACAGTTCTACACATTAAAATGTTCAAATGACCTTTACAAACATTTTATTTCAGACAAGAAGTCTTATTTTCAGGGCCCTGCACTTTTACGACGCAAGCCTGAAAGCGAGGCGGCCTATAAGGGCCACCAGATTTCGCGCAAACTTTAAAAAAGTAAAATAGAACTGCGAGAACAGGAACGAGTTGTTATTTAGAGATTAGAGATTAACCCCAGAAGATATTCCTGGAGCGGTTGTAGTAAATGAACGTGCTTTGGAAAGTGGACCTTGGCGAAACTAACCTTCGGCAAAGATCCTTCGGAAATCCGTGAAACGTCAAGTCTTTCCTGTTATCGGAACCGACGATTATTAGAAAGCGCAGTATATTTGCGATGTGGAACCACTTAGGCCTCGCTTTCATGCTTACGTCGTTAGTGTGTATGTGGAGCGCACGGGTTTTCTAATTACGATAGGGAAAGAATCCTTGACCCAGAATGACCGAATTATGTATTGCAAACTCATGACTTACACAAGCAGTTCTAAGTTTGTAGTAACTATTTTTTATTGTAACGGCCAAGTTGTATGTTGCGTTTTATTAATTAAAGGTTCCTTGCGGAGATAGGAAGGTTTGTTCGTGTATTGCTTTACTACTGCTTAAGTTAATACAGGACTTCAATGACTGCCCCGTTTGAATCACTCGCCTTTAGTTGACCTTAGTTATGCCTTACAAGGTGTCTTCGTTTCGCGCAAATTGTGGCAAAATAAGTTGCAGTGGAATGTGAACTGGGTGAGGGTAGTGATAGGACAATTGTTGACAGTGAGTGATGTTTCGACAACCTGTGCAATGATCATCATTTCTATCATCATAACTGATGGTGGTCTGTCTTCCCACGGTTCATCGACATGTGCATCGAAACGCCATTCACTGTCAACAATTCTCTAATCAATAAAGAGATTTTGAGTCACGTTTACGGGAAACGGCAAAGGTGGACTTGTACCACGTGTCCAAATCTTCCCACAGTTTTGTTGTCTTTTACTATGAATTGCTTCTGCAAAACGTTTGGTAGCTTCATCCACAAGTACTGTTTTGGACTGTTTTTATCTTCTCATTTTCTATTTTAAGAATTTCCCAACTTGAATCTGACTTTTGCCTTAAGCGTGACTCGAAATCTCGCCTGGCCGAATGAACGTGTTCCATCAACTTATGATATGAGTCCCCGGCTCAAACCGTAACTAAGAGTGGTCCCTCTCCTTCTTCTTAGGGATAGAGAAGCAAGCGAAATCCCTGGGAAAATGAGGGATGACTTGACCGTGAAAGCCAAGTTTACACCCAAACATACGAACCTCGCGAGATAGGCAGACACTTGACCCCTTGTGCCTGAGAAAAAACCCTCCTTCCCCCCCACCCCCCTCCTCCCACACAAAAAAAAAAATTTCGCGCAACCATTGCTTCTATTTTTTTTGTGGATGATACTGTCGTCCCTTAATATACTGAAGACAATGCTTATGAAACATTTTTGGGGTAAATAAGGTGTATCATGGGTGGGGGCGTTTGTACTAAGTTCTTGTTTTTCGAAAAACTTTATGCAGTTATGACCAGTCGTCGCGCTTTTTTGAAGTCGCATTTCGTGCGAACTGCGCGAACACCAGTTTTTGCTGACTTTATTTTATAGTCTAGCTTTTTTCCTGCTCAGCATTCCAAATAAAAACCTACTTAAGACGTGTGTTCGGGTTGTAGAATCTCTCTCCTAGGTGGGAATATTTACAAGCAAAGATGGTTTAAAGACAGGCTCGGAAACTTTTTGGATCCGAAGGCAAATTTTAAAATCCAAACCCGTTAAATAGTGGTTCCGAGCCCATAAACCAGTCAATTTTAGTTCGTTAACCGTCAGATTCATTTTGTTATTTTCGAAATTATTGAAACTTTGATGTTGAATACAAACACAAAGCCCGAAAAGTTACCGGGACTTTCGAGAAAGAGGCCCCAGGGTCCAGTTGTTCATAGGCCGATTAGCGCTAACTCGAGGTTAAATTTTGATCCTAATTTCTTGTTCTTTCGTTTAAAAGCATTTTTTCAGAAAATTTTCTCTTTTCTTTTTAGAGTATTCGATCATCAAATTGTGGACAAAAAGAATTAAACTGAATTTGCCTTTTAAGCTGTCAAATCTGAATTTAAAAATTTAAATTCAACGCTTTGTTCAGTGCTCGGTCGTTTTAGCACTTCCATCGAGAAGAACTGGGGCTTATTATTTCTAGAAATTACTTCGAGTTTAAAGAAAGAAAGAAATATGGTCGCTGTGTATTTTATAAATATTTTCCTGCCTTTCCACAATTAAATTCTACCAAATAGAAATGGGACTCTGCGAGGCAGCGTTAACAGGCTCGGTCACTCAGCAGTGAATGCCGGGGAATCCTTTGTGGATATTGAACGAAAAAGCACCGATATTGAAAACCAGCAGAGTTTCTTGAAACGCGTAATAAGAGAGTTAATTGCAGGTTACTTAATGTAAAAACTCGACCTTCACAATAGATCGTAATTAAATTCCGAATTAATAACTTTATGCAAAATGGTAAAGTCAGATATTAAGATTACAAATAAATTATTACCTTTTCATCAAAAGCTATTTTAATGTCTGCTCATGTCGTATTAGGAACTTAGAAATCACGAGTCGAGCTTTAAAAAATCCATACCCATATAGTAAAACGTGAGACGCCTCTGTGATTCGTGACGTCAATATTAAGCCTCGATAAACC